AAAAACTCCGGAAGTGAAACACGCAAAGGATTGACATCAAGGCTGTTATTTTCCTGGCATCATAGACCGCAGTCCGAGGCGCGAAGAGGCCAAAACCATTTTTCTTTTTTCTGCGGCGAGTCTAGTTAATGGTATTTTATCTAACGGTTATAATTTATTGAAAATTAATAAATGTGACATATTAAATGTTATTAATTTTTAATAAATTATAATCGTTAGATTGACGAAAATCAACGGTGATTAAATTAATTGTAAGAGTTGTAAATTTTTTTGGTAGTAAGTGAATCCGTTCCCTTGTTTTTTGGGAGGAAAAAAACAATGAATTCTTATTACCTGATGTTTTTAAAATTGATTAATATGTACGTTAAAGTATTAATTAGTTAGCCAAATAATTTAAAATTGATGTTTTTGCTTCCAATATGTAAATATTATGCTGTATTTTATTAGGTGAAACTTGCTTGAGGGGACAATATTGAGAGAACAAATGAAGCTTCAATAATCGTATTCGCCCTTAAACATGATATTTGGGACAGCTATACATGCAAGATGTCAACTATTCTTTTTTCAGATTATCTCCTATAATCTCAGAGATTTCTTATGAATTAACTCGAAATTTGGGGTGGGTGTTTTAAATTCCTCCCAAATCGAGAAAGATCAAACATATTTTTATCTTCATTTGTTCAGTTTTCATGTTTCAACTGAGCTATCATAATTTGGTTGATGTCAACTATTTTCTTATTACAGGTACTTGGCTTCTGATTTGCAGAATTGGATTCTTTAAGAGCAGAATTATAGAGGGAATGCAGCTATAGCATTAAAGATGGTCTTCAAATTTGAGGTGATTATCGAAAGGATTGCTTCTTGTAACTTGTTTTTTTTTTTTACATATACCAACACTAGTTACTTTTTGAGGCGAAGTATCCTCACATTATAAACTAATCCCGAGTCAAGTTTAGTAACAGATAAAACTTATCCTCTTATTTATACTTGGAATTGTGTCATCAACCAATTAATGTTGGAACACTGACCAAAGTGCTATTGTTGGCTAAAAAAATTACTAGAATGCTACGCTAACAGTAAATTTTGTCAAAATGCCACGTGACATATTTCGCTACACTGTGTAGCGAAATATGTGTGCAAATAATTCGCTACACAGTGTAGCAAAATATGCCACGTCAGACTGCTCAGAACCAAAAATGCCATGTGTCAAATTGAAGAAATTCACTACATAGGATAGCGAATTTATATAATTTTGACACGTGGCATTTTTGGTTCTGACGTGGCATATTTCGCTACACTGTGTAGCGAATTATTTGCACACATATTTCGCTACACAGTGTAGCGAAATATGACACGTGGCATTTTGACAAAATTTACTATTGGTGTGGCAGTCTGGTGATTTTTTTAGTCAACAGTGACAAAATGGTCATTGTTCCATTAATGTTGGTGAGTAGGTATATGACACCAATTAATGCTTTTGTATTATGCTGTATTTTGTAATAAAATTTCGGGATCCAACTCTTTTGAGCGGCATTTTGACTGTACTAACGTGCTTTTTTTAAAAAAAAAAATTATCAATTTAATGTTGTAAATATTTTACTATCTAATGCAATAAATCCCGCATTAAGAAGATGCGAGACCGATACCGCACCCCTCGTGTAATTTTTAGTATTGCGCTTTAGTTTGTTGGTAAGTCAACTGACCGTTGGTAATTCTTAGTATTTTCGCTCAAAATACTAAATATAGGTTCCTTCCTATTTCGGCGAGTTAAAACCTAAACATTGCATAATATATATAAAGTGTTTTCTTTCATTAATAAAATGTTGTATACGATAACGCATGATGTATTGTATGAACATGGGCAATAAAAATTTGATTTAGATTGATATTATAATGTTCCTGTGCTACTATATAAATTTTTTTGTTACTTATAATTTTTTGGTTCCTGATTAAATAAAAGCAACAACAAGTAATTAATCAACTTTTTATCACAAATAAATGGGGCAGGATATACTTACCACCAAAAAAGTTTACCATTCTTACAACTAATTTAATCACCGTTGATTTCTGTCAATCTAACGGTTATAATTTATTGGGAATTAATAATTAATTAATAAATATGACACAATAAATGTTATTAATTTTTAATAGATTATAACTGTTAAATTGACAGAAATCAACGGTGATTAAATTGGTTGTAAGAGTGATAAACTTTTTTGCTGGTAAGTATATTCTGCCCCCAAATATATTTATTATAATATATTATAAAATATAAATGTATATAAATTTTAATAAACAATATCGAATTGTAAACAATATAAAAGACAAAACTTATATTGAGCTTTTTAAGTGTTTGTGATATTGTTTTTAATAAAAATACAACAGTTTTTTTATACATCAACTATGAAAATTTTGAAAATGAGAATGAGATGGTCAAAAAAATAATATACGAGTTGTATTTTTATTGAAAAACAGTATTACAAATACGTAAAAAAAAATTAACCGTGTTGTTTTAACATTAATAAGAATTTAATCATTTATTGGGTTAGGCCTCGAAAAAAATTCTAGCCCAACGAGACCAGCCTGGCAATAGGCCTCAAGCAGTTGTAAAGCTGCAGCAGTGCCCCAAAAGGAATTGGACCATGACATGAGTCCATGATTAGTCCTATACTAATATTGATGTGTGTATTTGTTTGGACCCTATTTCTTCGGAAGTTGGAAAGTGGAAGAAGGTCTTCCATGATCCATATGAGTGAAACAGGAAAAACTCACAATCAAGCTTGCGGGTGCTTGATTGTGTTGATTGACCACCGTGCATTTTGACCGAAACAGTAGTGTAGTCCTTTCTGTCTTGTGCGCCCGAATGGACTGTCACGTGTATAATTGGTATATTGGCCATCCTTATTTTATATCTATATTTTCCATCTTAATTGATTTTATTTATTTATGTTTAATGTTAACTTACACTCAAATTTTAATTGTTGATTTATTTGTACTTAGTAGCAGTAATTTATTAAATATTAATAATTAATTAATGGATATAACACAATAAATTATTGTGACTAAATGCAAGAAGAATAACAATTGAAATTAAGGATAAATATATTATTATGCATATATACAAGTGGTAAATGAATTTCGAGACGTTTAGATTTTTATATAAAATTTGTAAAACTTACTATTTTCAGATTTCAAATTTTAATTTTGACAAAAAATAAAAAACAAAAATTACATAATTTTATAATTTTTTTCTCTGACAATTTTGTAAAATAGTGAAAAATTGTTTTATGCAACAAATTATAATTTTATAAAGGTAATACAAATCATTCATGTTTTCGAGCTCCCCTACACATTTGTTATTTACAGTGGACTTTCAAATTTGAGTTTTGACCCAGTGGAAACCTTCAGCAATGATTGGAAAGCAAGGAACAAGCCGCATAAGACGCCGCGCAAGCAGAGATAATATTATACCCTTATCTCAAAAAAAATAAAAAAAAAATAATATACCCTTTGACGTGTAACACATAGGGTTTTGAATAAGGGTATTCGCGGTTTGGATTGAAACGATTTTAGAAGTAAAAATTATCCGATTCAATCTCTTTAGTTTGATCATGTAATTATCCATTCGGTTTGGATTTTTTTCAAATTCGATCCGATCCAATTCAAAAAAATTCGTTTTGCATTGGGTCGGTTTCAATTTTTTGAAAATCTTAAAATTTATTTCGTGATTATTGTGCAAATAACATATTTTGTACATATTGGCTTTGTAAATTTATTTTTTTAATAATACAGAAGAATTAGTAAATGATAATATAGTTTTTTTTTGCAATGAGATCTGAAGCTCTACACAGGTAAAATTTTGTTGATGAGATGTGACTATGTTTTTTCTTGGAGTTAGTTGATGGGTTAATGGTTTTTTGGTTTAGAAATTTTTGGGCTATGATTGGAGAAAGACCCAAGTAGGTATAGGAGAATTAATTTATTAAGTCAGTTTTCCTCGACCAATTCAAAAATTGATCTAATCTAATTAAAATTTGCGGTTTTTTTTTATTTTCGATTTTCGGTTTTTGATTTATTCGGTTATCGATTTTTTGGTTCAGTCATCGCGTTTGAATCAATTTGGATTGATTGATAAACACGCATAGTTTTGGAACACAGGCGCCGGTTACACTTGACTAAAGATTTGATTTATACTCTTATAAGAGCATGAGTTTGAATCCCTTTAGTCGATATAAGGACCTCATTGATGGAGCTCCCAAAAATTCTGAATCAGGTTAGGGGATTGTCCTTAACCATGATGAGATACCAATGTCTAACTCTATTTAATAAACTACTTTTTATCTACCAAAAAATAAATAATACTACTGCTTTCGTGGCATGTAAAAAGATTAAAAAAAAATAGTTGTCAGTTTGTCACTAGGCTAAAATCACTACTAAGTCTAGACCAGTAAATATTTTTCAAAAAAATTAACTTTGTATCCAAAAATACACTCAGCTGGTCATAAAGACCAAACTTTCCCATGCCTGTGACAAGTGCTGTGACAACCTCTTTGATATCGAGCTTCCCTATTTCCGCATATCTTGTACATTAAAAAAACATATTTTTTTTGTGTGGTGTAGCTGGTGCTCAATTCCTCCTTATCTCTTTATCCACTACTTTGTACTGTTGGGCAACTGATACACCCCTTTTTTGTTTGTTTCAAACTGATGCGGCCTTGTTGGTCCACTGCTGTTCCTATTTTATTTATCTCTTTACTTTTGGCCTCTTTTCACACCGATTAATTGCATTTGCACATATTTTGATCAATCATCAAGATAACAATAAGAGAAAATATAGTTCACAAACACAAGCTCAAGCAGTGAAGAGAACCCAGAGGATATATCTTTCAAAATATACAAGTGAAAAAAGTTTAGGAAATTATTCTCACGATATGGATGTCAAATTAAATTATCAAATTATAAAATTCTAAACAGAGAGAGAGAGAGAGAGAGAGAGAGAATTTGCAATAACAAAACATTGTTAATATGATTCGAATATCTAGGTCCGGCCATCGGACCCACCGACCCATTACAATACACCTGACCTGAGAAAAACCATATACTCCGTCAGAGAGAACCTATTTAGCTACTAATTCCTTTAATTAACCTTGTCTTGATAGTGATAAGACGCTGCCTTATCATACATAATACGTTTATATTTTTTCCTATGTACTCTCTTAACTTTTCTAATAAACTGATACTATGATAAATATAAAGGCCATTCAACTGAAAGAAGAAGAAGAAGATAGGTGCAAGCACCACCCCACCACAACACATGATTGCGTTGATTCATGGATATAGATATAGACTAGAGAGAAGTATATATAATAATATATCAGTGATAATCTTCAAGGTCAAGAGAATCTTCAGGTTTTGGATACTCGTTCAAGTCTGGTTTGTCGAAGGTAACGACTTTAGTTGAAGTGGAGTTCGAGGAGGCTTGGAGAGCGGTTTGGAGAGCATCCACTCTTGCGCCGACTTGGGTGGCTTTTTTGCGTATAGAATCGGCGGACATGTCGACGGAACCGTCGTGTTGTTGGTCTTGGTCTTGGAATAACAATTCGGGGAAGTTGAGGCGAGCCGAAGGGCCCCTCAGGTGAAATACGGCGGTGTCGTAGGCGCGTGCGGCGGCGACGGGGGTGGTGTAAGAACCCAACCAAATCCTGGACCTTTTGTTGGGTTCTCTAATCTCAGCCACCCACTTACCCCACTTCCTCATCCTTATTCCTCTGTACGGTTTGTCTTGCTGCTTGCGCTTCTCTGATGAGGGGCTTCTTGAATTCGTGGAACAACAATCTCTTTCTTCTTCCATGTCCCCTTCAATTACCTACCTAACCTATTCACCTGAATTGGATAACTGAACCAGCTAAGCAACTACTCAGTATCTATATTCGATCATCTCTCTTCAAATAAAATATGTCAATATATATATATATCAATTGCAAACCGCAAGCAAAGGCACAGGGAGATTCTGTTCATACCCTAAATACACTTTTCCCCCCAAACCATGTTGCTGTTGTATTAGTTTCTACTTATATGGAGAATGGGAAAATGAAAATTATTTGTATAAAAATATAATATTATTTATATTAGAGAGGGGAGGAGGGGTGAAGTGAAGGGAATGAGTTTCCCACTTGGCTGCTAGTCTGTCGTGTGATACGGCCGCCACGTTGAGCTTTCTTTAAGATAAATTAAAAGATGGCCGACATAACCCATCACACCTATCCCTCTCTCACTCTCAGAATTTGATTAGGCTATTTTGTTTGTATTATTGTTACACGCCACACAGCCTTTTGTGGGCGCTATAACCGCCGAGGCCGACGGGATACCCTTCTCCGTACACTTTTTTTTTTTTTTTTTTTTGAGTTACCTCACCCAAATTATCTCTTTGAGACCGAGTTGGCTCTCTCCGATATCCCCACGAGCTTCGACTCTTTGAGCCGGCTATGGGACTAATCCAGAGTGCGGGGGAACAGTGATGGCTAAAGGTTCAGCCCCTTCTCCAAGAATGCATTCAGCGGAAATCGAACACATATCCAACCCCACTAACTCAGCGCCACCCTTCTTTGTACTCTATTCATACGATCACAAATACATTCATGAATACATAATTAAATAATTAATTGGAAAAAATGCTATACTGCCATCTATATGATTTCGTTTTGTGCTTTGCCAACAGTGATCCTCTTCCTCTCTCTTCTTGTTTTTATTACGAAATTGATACTCTGAAATTAATATAGAAATATATTTATAAATGTATAAAAAAAAGAAATATATTTATAATTAAATTTAAGGTAAATTATATTTATAATCTATTTTCTCTTATAACTCTTACAATTAATTTTATAGACGTTGGATTACGATCAAATTGATGGTCATAAAATAACATCATGTGTGAGTTGTTGATTTAATTTTGATTCAACAATTATAAAAAATAGTTGGAAGAAAAAATAAGTCTTAAATATAACCTCTTCCGCTCACCCATTAAATTATAATAGATAATTAATTTAGCTAACATGATTTTGGAGATATTGGAGAAAATGATTTTTAGAATTTACCTCCAACATGATTCAGACAGAACACGAAACCAGCGAAAAAAAATAAATTGAATTTTTTAACAAGAAATTAATGAATAAAAAAATTGAAAATTAAGTTACATTTAATTAAAGTTATAATATTTATGAATTTTATTTTTTTATTTTTTATTATTAAATGAATTAAACTTTTAAATATTTTTATTAAATGCTAAAAGAATTACTGGGAAGTTATTCTAGAAAGACAAAACGGTACATAATAATTACATAAGGTATTAGAAATAACAATGTTTATTTAAAGGTTGTCCAAATGATAATTATGAGTCTTAGATGATGATGTGCGTGGATGGCTGGATGGTTAATGAATGAGTGGATATAATGAAATGAGTGAGAGAAGTCGGTGATATATAATGGAGGGGTGGATGGGGTGCGAATAGAAGGATGACTTTCCGTCCACGCAATAAAAAATGCTCATCTGTATTGTAGACAACCTTGCCAATGGGAGAGTTTGCTGTTTGATTGCTTGCTTGACAACTATTGTGTGTTCCAGATAATTACTTAAAAATAATTATAATATGATAACATAATCATTTTCTTATTTATTAATGATACACCAGCAAATGCAATCAATCGAATCTTAACTCTTTTAATTGACTATTACTTTCAATTCTAAATCAATTCACGGAGAGCTATTTCCTTTCCAAAGCACGCCGTGCAAAAACTATGAAGAAAAGATTGGTGATTAATTAATCAACCACTTGTTAGCATCAGCGCCGTTAGATTTGCAGACGAACCCGATCAAACATAATTTCTCATACCCGTATATATCTTTTGACTTATGAAAAAACTGACTCCTTAGAACAGCACTAGTAAATGCTTTAGCAAGGCAAATAAAAAACGAGCTTGTTTTATATTTTGTTTACCAAAAAAAAAAAACGAGCTTGTGACTAAATTAATGAAGTTATAGATATACGTACTTTTAATTTAATTTAAACCTTTCGTAATTTCACTTTATTAAATATATTTTTAGAGAGATGAAGAGTTTAACGGTGACTAAGTGCCAATTCAGGATTAATTTATAGCCAACTCAAATAATCAAAACTTGTAAAAATATTTGAAAAATTGATTTGTCTCAAAGAGTTAATTAGAGTCGGTATAATTTTTTTTTACATATTATAAAATTTTGTTGTTTGAAAGAGTGTAGAAGAGTTTTATCATAGCAAATATGAAACGTATTGTTCATAGTTTCGCGATTAGTCCGATTCGGAGCGAGTCAGACTTCAGATTTTAAATTTCTTCCAAAAATAATATTAAAAAGGATCGCACACATATTCTTATATCTACATGCTCAACGTTTATGCGCCAACTGGTTATTTTTTATTCTTAGATTAAAGAAGGATGTACACACCATTAAAGTGGCATTTTCAAAAAATTTACAGAATTACCTGTGAAGCGGGACAGGCGGAAAGGGATAAGAAATGAAACAGAATGCATTGCGGTATCTAGGGTCTATTTGATTGTGTTCTGATTTTTTTGTTCTTAAAACTGTTTTATAAAATAGTTATGGAAACAGTTGTTTTCTATACTTTTTTCTTTTTAAAAGTTAAAAACCAAAACACAGAAAACAAAAACAACTCAGACATGTTCTCTAAATTTAATTTAAAAAAAAAAAAAAACAGTTATAGTTTTTAAAATATATTTTACAAAACAGGTCTTACCAAATGAGTTTTTTTGTTTTTTTGTTCCAAAAACTAAAAAACTGTTTTACAAAACAGAAATCAAACATACCCTTAATCTCGCGCATTCTTATTATTTCGTGTATATATATACGTATACATATATTGCTTCAAAAGAATATTCGAAAATATTTTTATGTATTCCGAGTATATTACTTATTTTACTAAAATATAATCCTTACTTTTACTAAAATATAAAATTAAAAATATAATTTACATCGATCTAAAATGTATATTTGATCGCTAGATTAATTATATAATGTTATTAAATTAGATTTAGAGAGATTACATAATTAGTGACATCTCAGAATTTTTTTTTTCCCTCAAGGACGGTAGCTAATTTTCGTCAGATGGCATGTGGTGATCTCTAATTGGTCCAACGTGATAAGGACGACGAGATGATTTCAAATTGATAGGCTGATGACAATGAAGATCATGCATGTACAAGTAGAGCTGGGTTTGGCGGATCAACTCACCCTGTCCTCTAAAGGGATAGAATAGGCTAAATTTTTCAACACATTTTAAAAGTAGAGTGGGATGGGCTCATTTTTTAGCATATTGATGACAGGCCGAGATTGATCAATTTAAAAAAGGTTCGGACTCACGGTCCAACCCGTCAAATGGAGCAGAGCGGACTGAGTTTTTCAGCTCACCTTTAAAAATCGAGAGGAGCAAACTGACTTATTTTTTGATGGACTGGAGCGAGACACCTACTTTGCCACGTAAGTACAACCCAATATATCTTCAAAAACTAGTTTGACTCTTATAAAAGACGAAAATTCCTCAAAGAAAGAGTGCTCAAGAAAACGGTTTATGAGGGATATGGTTAAGCGTTGCTTTAGAGGTGACTCCATAAAGTTTATACTTTACGGTTAGTCCCACTGATAGAGGCAATTTGCTCAACAGAAATATTAGTTGACAAGTTAATGAGAATAGCACGTCCAAAAATAATTAACAACCAGACGAGTTACGAGTGTGTCTGATTTGGAGTCATCATCAGCATGATATATAGAGATTCAGCATTCAGCAAAGGGTCACTCCCAACGGCTGACATCCTCTTCTTGAGCTTCATTTATCAAAAAAACCTGTGAATAATATAGTTTCATTCGAATCTTACTTTTTCTTTTAGATTTTTTTGTCTATCTAGCTAGAACGAGATAAATATTGTTTTCAAAAAAAAAAAAAAAAAAAAAAAAAAACCAACAACAACTTTTACACTAGATTGTTCAACCGTAACACAAAAATCAATCCTTACACAAGAAAATTTAAAATCCCAGTTCGTGTTTTTCACATATTTCAAAGGATATTGAGAGATCTAATTCAAAGTATAATGTAAGATCGAAGAAATAACGATGGAAAATTAGGTGATGCAGGGCGCGGGGTCCACCTGAGTGGCCATCAAGGAGGAAGTGCAGTCGGCAGTCCAAGTTGTCAACTAATGAAATTATAATAGCAATTCTCAAATTATTTTGCCTAAATAAATCATGACGTATTTGACCTTACTATCTAGCGTCTTTAGTCTTTAGTCTTTTTCTTCTTTTTTTTAGTTCAAAGCGTCTTTAGTCTTTACCAATGGCTAAAACATTCATCCAGGTTTCGCATCAGCAGCCAATAAAGATGCATGAATTGGACATCCAATTGTCAAGAAGCGCAACTTGCAGTTCTTTCAATACATGGATAACTACGCAACTCCATGAATCGTTCAATATGGATTAATCACCATATGTACCTTACCGACAGCCATAAATGTAAGAAAACACATGTTTTGCGGCGACAAGACAATCAGCGAATCCCATGTTGCTATATGTTACATCGCTAGTGCCCACTGATATTCATGTTAAATGACTCGGCCTTTCTTGGAGCAGGCTCAATATCTATTTGGTTTAATTTTCCAGTAATTTTCAAATTAATACAATTAAACTTCTTGACTGACTAATATTGACATGGGCTAATCTTTTTACTCACAAATATTATGCCAACTTATTTCCAAATTAGTAAAATCCATTTAAAAAATTCTTATCAAATTTTATGCCACATATTAAAAAAAAAGAGAGAGAAGATATTGCCACATTAGTAAAGACAAGACAAATGTCAATATTAAATTAATGGAAACTTAATTGTGTCAAGTTAAAAACTTCAAGAACAACATTGTTGTAATTAAAGAGAAAAGGACAAAACTTGTACTTTAGTGAAATTGGGAGGATTCAACGTAACAAATTAATCAGATTCGTAAGATGAAAAGCTACAGCTCCACTTGACTCGTGGACTTAATTATGCTAA